TACATCTTGTTCTACGAGAGCCTCGGCACCATTAACAAGAGTTAAGAAGACGGCTTTGGATTTAAGATGGTTGGGTATTTCTAATCATTTGGACTTTTGCTTTTCTTCTGTTTTGTGTTTACTATTTTTCTTTTTCTTTTTTTTTCCCCCTCATTTTCAACCTGTGGGAAGAGCTGTCAAATATCAATGAGATGATGTGGGTTGTGAAAAAAATGTATACTTAGGTGGTTCGCATGTACAGCGGATGGTCGAAGCACGCCATCCTTTTTTCTTTCATTTTCCTTTTTTTATATTTATCTTTTTTCACAATAAGGAAAGGGGTAGTGTATATGGTGAGAAATTTCAGACAGTTAGTATTCTTCACGGTTGAGAACATTAAACACTAGAAATGCCATGCAATTGGAATTGCTCATCACTCTTATTCTTCTTGTGAACCTTGACATCTTTATGAGGCTTAAGTTTTGTAGGTGATCAGGGGTCATATTTGAAGTAAAAACTTAGTACTTGATTGATGTAATATTCAAAAGGGTTTTTAACTGTAGACATCCTTGAACTTTGCCTATAAATAGTTCCAATTGGGTTCTACTGTCCAACTCTGTTAATTTGTCTGTTAAAATGAGGGGTTAAAAGCATCTCTCCGAGTTCTTCATCCATCATTGACGCCAACTCCACCTTCTTCATCCATCATCGACCCCAACCACCCCACCTCCATCTTTAGAGCCTTCTCCACCAAGCCCAAAACTCAGAAACCCCCAACTCAACAATCCTGGTCATGAGAGTGAAACCATCAGAGGCAAAACCCCAGAAAACCACAAAAGTCAATGACCACAATTCGACTTTTAGGAAGGATTAAGCCATTAGAGGCAAAACCCCAAAACTCAGAAACCCCCAAGCCCAACGCCACCATACAACCACCATCGTCCCCATTCAAGATCCACCCAGCCTCACCTGAGACCCATCTAGATCCCCTCTCTCTCTCTCTCTCAGTGCAAATTCACAAATTGAAAAAGAAAAAAAAAATTCAAACACTTTGCATCTTGGGGGGGTGGGGTTGCTGGAGATGGGGGGTGGGTTGCAGGTTGGGTTAGGATCTTGGTTTTGAGGGGTGGGATAAGGAGGGGGAATGGGTTGCAGGAGAGAGGGAGAGAGAGAGGGGGAGACATGAGAGAGAGAGAGAGAGAGAGAGGGATTTGGATTTCTATTTTTTATTTTTAAGTTTATTTATTTATTTAAATATTTTTTAGCACTTTTTTCAGTTTTGTTTTTCAATTTTTAAAACTTAAAATATTTTAATTGAGATGGATGGTTTTTAGCCCTCAATTGAAACGGATGAGAGAGCTGGATGATCTAATTGCCTCGAAAAAAAGTTTGGAGACCCAATTGCAACTCGAGGTAAAGTTTAGGGACCTCTATAGTTAAAGTACCTTCTTGTGCAATATGGTTCAAAATAAGCCAATAATTTTAAAGGAGTGTTTCCTGTACAATCTCAGAGTGCATGGTTACAGTGAGGGTTTTTGTTCAAACAAGTTTGTATCTTCAAAAGTATAATAACCCAAAACCCAGAAAGAAAAATCTCGAATTGGAATCCCGAATGGTTTTTGAACTAGCCAGACTCGAAGGTTTTTAAGTTTATGAACTTCAAAATCGAAAGGAATTTTTTGACATGGCACTGATCTATATTTTACCTACATAGACGCCAAATAGATAGACGCGAAAAGATGTCACGCGACGCGAGTTAACGAATGTCATGCACAACTTCTTTGAAGAAAACCCTAACACTTTAAATATATAATGAGCTAAAAAATAGCACACTTGGTATCATCAAATATGAAAAATAGCCATTAACTTGATGATTTACAACTTTAAAGTTGTTTTTGCGAATTTTTCCAAGATAGAAACTAAACTGTCACTAACGCCGAATCACACAAGTGCATCCATGGTTTTAATAATTTTGTTTAATAAACTCTAAGACTGAAATATGAGTATTTGAAGAAACCGGATTTGGATCCACGGATCAATCCTCGGGTGCAAATAGGAGCCCCATGATAGATTTATAGCACTAGGGCCATATTTCCATGGCTATGGCAAGGTGCTCTTAGAACATTTCTCTCGGAACATTAAACAGGAGGTGAAAAAACAACATGCAATGCAATGAGGTGGACAAAAATTAACAACATAAACTCATTATCTTTAATTTTCTTAGATAAATAAATTTTCTAAACATATACAAGAGCATTAAGACATGCTTCTAGACCACTGGTGAATAAATTAAATGCCAACGCATGTACTGATACTAATGCACTGCAGATTTTACAAGAGGATATCATAGGGTTAACCAGAGATCACTATGGAGCTGCTGTAGGCATGAAAATGTCTTCATCCAACAATTCTGCAAAATCTATGAGATCATCGTCCATATCAGCTCTCCCTTCTGAACTATTCACAGCACTATCACATACCACCTGCAATGTCAGTTGAAATTAGAGAATTCATTCAACAAAAAACAAATGCTTTATAGCCCAAGTGGGCAAGAGGAGAGGCTCTTCTTTACCTTGGTTTCCTTTATCTCAGTAACAACATTAAGCAGCCGACGGTATTGATCTCTTGCCTCAGGATATTGAACCATGGACTTCACCCTAGCAAGGGCCTTTTGCAACCTTTCCTCAGTTTGCTTCCTTCCTTCTTTCAGTAAATCATAATCATCATCCTTCGAGGATGAAACTTGTATGCTGGGGCCCTCTATAAGTGGCTCTGACTTGAACCCACGCAATCCACTTCCTTTTCGTCTCCAACGCAAAATAATCTTCTCTACAATTCCTACGGACCAGACTATCTTTCTGTAGTTTTTCCTCACCTGGTGGCCTCTTACATGAGCCTTTTATCAATAAATTAGAAGTTAGATTTCAAGAATGGATTTGAGTAAGGAACAATGCCTATGGGAGAAATATGGGGAAGATAAAACGCCTGAAAAATTGAAGTAGACCACAATCCTTATTAACAAGAGAATCATGACAAATACCTGAATTTTGACAATACGCTGTCGGATGATCAAATAGTCTTTTCTACCCTTCCAACTACGGAACTTATTTTGAATTCGTATTGCAGCAGCATCAACATGCTCATCACGTTTCCCTGGCTTATGTGACTTCACTGCAATGAGTGACAGTGCATGCTCATCTGAAATTCCAAATTCATTGCCACCATATTCTTTCAACTGCTTCCTCTGAAAAGATTTTACCCTGAACACTTGATGAATACGAGCAGCAGCTTGGGTGGCATTACAGACAGCAGTTAAAGAATCCCTCAGGGAAAGCCCATCCGTTAAATCCCCATTCCCGATAGGAGTTGCAATTCGTTCTGAAACTGTTTGTACTGCATTGGCTCCTGAAATCCCAGCATTATTGCCTTCCTTGATGTCCAAATTAAGAGATGAAAGGTGGGCGCTCAAAGCAGATTCTGCAAGATAACCAGCAATTCCTTTGTGGCCCCGTGCAGAAGCTAGGTCTGCAGGTGTTCTGCCAGTAGGGTATTTGGTACTTGGATCTGTTAATGCTCCGGGAGCTGCGCCAAGAGAGATGAGGGAAGCAACTGTGCGCTCTCTGATATTAATTACAAGAAAATAAGGAAACAAAACATGTTAAAATCAGACAAAACTAAATAAATAAGTCAAGAATGAAGATAATATCTAATAAACTGAAAGAAAGAGTTTCTAAGGTGCTCACCTGCCACAAAAAGCTGCCCAATGAAGAGCCGTCCATCCATTCACATCACGAAAATTGACACTGACTCCGGCAGTAATTGTGGGCAGCAAGACCCAATCATAGCCAAGAGCTGCTCCAAAATGTAACACACCTTGGCCATCCTCGTCTAGTACACTAGGGCCTTTCCCACCAACAGCCAGCTTCTGTAAGAGCCATACATGCAACTTCTCTTTAAGTAGCTGATGAAGCAACTGCTCCTCTACTCTCTCCAGGGAAAAGTCTTCATCTGACGTAAGCTGTAGCATCCTGTCCCACTCACCATTGTCATTTTTCAGCAATGAATCAATTTTATTGATCAACACTGAATTCTCTCCCTGACTGTTGGGATCAAAAGTTGGAGAGGTAGAGCTTAGAGACAACAATTTTCCAAACCGCATACTAAGTATATCATTTGTGCAGCCACTGTTATCATCTTTAGCATCATAATCTGGAATTTGGCCAACTCGGTATTCAAATTCCCTTACTTCACTACACGCTAGCCTATTGGAACATGTCACATAGAATGGAACCCTCCCAGCCTTATGGACGGGTGTATAACAACGAAGAACACCATCAGCTATAACCTCAGCACGAACTTCAACTTCCCCAAACATACATGACCATTTACAAGCTTCTGCTTGTTGACTCTTCAAGAATCTTCCCGTGATCAGAACCTGCACAAATTGAGGACTAAATGAGACAATTCTGTGATACTTGAGAAACTAAACTAGAATATAACTCTTACACAAAAGTACAGCTCTCTTTAAATCTCTTGGTTGTTTCCCACCAAGATCAGATGATGCATTCAAAGATTTATTTGATATAGTTGCAAGGAAGATTAAATTATACATTACCTTGATTTCAGAGTTTTCGTATGCCCAGTTTGGTGAAAAATCAATAATGCTAAAGAGCTGGTCTTGGGAAAGAGAAGGCCCCAGCATATAGCTATCCAAGCGTACTTGCAGGGGAACACTGGACTCATCAACCCCATTCTCACTTTCAACAGTATCCCAGTAGGTCTCAGAATTGGACTGCGTTTGTGTGTCATCCACGTCTCCAAGTTCTCTACTCATCCATCGGTTGAAACTGTCAAGCTTCTTCAAGCCTTCAGTGAATGGACCATCTAACAAAGGCTTTATAGCAGAAGCGTGATTGGCTTTTCCCTCTATGGTCTCATTTCTCTTTGAAATGGACTTTAGATAATATTCTTGCTCACTGGTTGAAGGCTGTATTTGAAGGTCATTTGGTATAGAATAATCATTGGTCTTATCAGAATTCATATGGCAAGGCGCTAGAGAATTGAGTAAATTAGCAGCATTGAGTCCTTCATGGAAGCTGGTAGAGACATCATCTGCTGTATTTGAATGCAAGTTCCGATCCATAAGCCAGCTGGATGAACATGACGAGTTTTCTTCCGAAGTCTGTCGGAAAGTCAAACTAAAGTATGAATAAACAGAAAAATTTGGAAAGACAAAAGTAATCCATAAAGGAGAGCACTACTCGTGCTCCCCATTAAACATGCTGCAGGGGTGCTAAGTGTTGGAAGGGGAACCCAAATAGCGCTCCCCTCCATAAACTGTGTATTCTGAGTATGCTTATATAACCAACTATTGCATATAATATAATTATTTAAATTACCAGTACCAAGCTACGCAATTTTGAAATCATTAAGTAGGATTTGAGGACTTTAGCAACACTTCCCATACCTAATTACATTGATAATTTTCATAAATTTATAATTTCATTCAAAATAAGTTCTAGAAACTTGGCAATACCAGAAATAATTTAAAAACTGACATCTCAAAAATTTGTTAGTAACAGTTCGAAACAATGAGACATCAAATATTTGTAGAACCCCCTGCCTAATTAGGTTTGACCATGTGTATAGCTCTTATGCATAACCAGAATCAGTTTAATTGCTTCCATGATCTTTAATATTGTCACTGTAAATTAATTCTAAAAATATAAAAACTCAAAACTGTTGAGAAAATATCTTTTATGGTGAAGCCATATAAAACAAATTCCATCACCATCTATCCATGTCCCACCAGATTTCACTTGTGAATGAAACATCAGATTCCCAGACATATCTACCATCCTTAAATACACATGAATTTGCAATTCCATAGCCCTAGAATTAAAAAAATTTGTTGCCAGCATTAAATGTGCAAGTAACTTATCCTTACCTGCCAACCTTGTTGGACCCTTGGTTTACTCTCACACATCTGCTTTTTCTCAAAACTGTCTGTGAAAAGGCGCCCAAGCATCCCATTTTCTTGCTTAGAGATAATCCCCATCGTATCAGAATGTGTTGCTGAAAATGATGGCTGAAAAGACAAAGACTGAAATCCAGTAGCACTGTTTTCCAAGGCAGCCTCCCATAACGAAGAATTAAGATTTTTGGTGGGCTCATAGGTAACACCAGCATCATTACCATCTTCCCTCTTGTATGCTTGAGTAAGTGAGCCAAAATTTACCCCAGGAATGGCTGACAATTTTTCTTGATAATTATCTGTTATCATACCATGAAGTTGGTATTCCATTTAATTCAACAAATAGTAGCTATTTAAAAGCACTCATCGATTGAGACAGACAGATTTAGAAATATAAGGAAAAAAGTTTACTTGAAAACGACATTGGATAGAATGCATCAGAGAATCCAGCATTGATCTTCTCAGCCTTAGGCTGTAGTAATTCGAGAAAAGGTTGTAACCGGGAACTTGCTTGGTGATCATAGGCTGCACCATATACCAAGTTAAAATATTGATAACAAGAAGAAATACATATAATGTGCAGCTGGAAAATGAATTAAAAGGTTTAGTTCCTGCAAAGTATTTATAAAAATAAAAGGAATTTGACAGACTGCAGAAAAAGAAATGTACAAAACACACCTGATTCAGCATCTTCGAATTCTGATGCCTGAGCACTACTCAAGCTTGTTGTATCTGTAGCTTGGGAACGCATTTGGAAAGTATTTGGATTGAAACTAGAAGAAACAGAATTGTCCATCTCAGAGTTGATTGCAATTTGTTCAGTTTCGTGGGAATAAGGAACAGCTTCTTCAGTCCCTTTAGTATGGTTAAAGTTTGTCCTATTTCCCTGAACAAGTTACAAAAATAAAAGTGAATACCCAGAACATGGATATCCATTAGGAAAATAAAAAGTTAACATGGTAATGAAATTAAGCTTGTATATTTATATTAATTTGTAAGCACATTAAGGCCTTGATCACACAAATGACAACAAGAAATGCAAAAGTATCCTATAGTCAAACACTGGATAGCATGAGTGTAAGAATTAAATCCATGAATTAGATATTTCAGATTGATTTGGATTTAAGCAAGTGGACCCACTTTTACTAAAGCCCTTGAAAACGTCTCGTTTACTTTCGATGATGATCCTTTTACACTAAGTGCCTACTTTATCAGCATTTATTCGAACATGGATCACATCTTGGATCCAATTATTAAAAATACACTAGGTTTGTATAACATCGTCAATTTTACCTTGAAATGGTATAACAATAACTCCTATGTTAAAATGATAATAACATAAAGGGTGGAAGGATCTCAAAAACTAAATGGAAAATCACAAGAATGAAATGATAGAATAAAGCATGACCTTAACTTCCCGGTAGTGGACGAGAACTATGTGTTGCAGATCCCTGCAGCAATGACCAAGTAGGTTAGGTCAGACATGCAAATAAAATTTCACCATTATTGAATCATTAGCATATGAGACTAAATGTTCATGTTCAAATGAGCAAGCAGTCATGGGAGCATGCCTGTACATGCAAACACATCCACAGAGAGAGAGAGAGAGAGAGAGAGAGAGAGAGAGAGAGAGAGATGCAAACTCCTAAGGCTTGAGAACAGAAATCTTTGATAGCAAAATACAAACTCACTCTTCAAGCATCCAATAACTGCGTCTTTGGAAATTTTCATTTTCTTCTCCATGGGCATAGTAGCAGTGCAACACATCAACACTTCCGGCCTGAAAGAATGTCCAATATTATTCAACAAATATAATTAGAAAACAAAGGATTCCTAAACAAAGTAACTCTTGATGCAAGTTACAAAAACTTGAGAAACTCTAAACCAAATTTCTTTCCCCACTGTTTTCCTAAGCAGCAATTTTATTCAGTTTGGTATCGTTGCTTCTTTGTATTTAATTTTGGCATTAAATAAGGGCGCAAGCGAGCTGAAGTAAGTTGAGCTTTGGACTGCACAGACTTGGCTGGCTAGATTTTTGTTGAGCTGAAGCCTAACACCAGCTTTGAGGTTCAGCCCAAGCTTGGCTTTCTGAGAAATAAGAGTTTGAACTCAATTCATTGACTTTGATGATCCTATAATGGAGTGACCTCAATCTTAAATTCACCAAAGACCTTCATGATACTCACACTCACAAGTGGACTGGCTGTTTGCATCCCTAACATCGAAGTTTTTTGTTTTACAGAGAATTCGTAAATAATATAATCGCATAACCCTTATATACTTTAAATTTAAAACCACAACCTTGATTCTCTAGCCTACAACATCAAATTGTAGTTTTTGACATTCAACATGACAGTTTTTTCCACATCAATCTTATCCCAGAGCTATTCCCCCTATGTAAGTTTGGTATCATTACTTTCCATCTTATGTCAAAATCCTTGGGTCATAAAATAAAGTTACCCGAACATAGCTCTTCAATA